AAACAAACTCTCCCTATCTCTCTATCTCTATGTATATATATATATATATATATATATATATATTTAAAGAATATTTAATTAAAAAATATTAATACATATAGTATTAATATGAAAAATAGGAGTATTATTTCTATTTATAGGTTTTTATTGATTTTGGGCAAGTAAAGTCGGTCTCTCTGCTTCTTCGTTCTTATCCTCTACCACCATACCACCACCTTCATCTTCTCCTTCTCCATCTACATCTCCATCCCCAAATTCAAATCCTCCTCCAATTTTCTCATGAGATTCTCTTCGATTTCTTCATTTTATCATCAATCAATCCACTCCCAACTCTGTAATACACACTTATAACGAAATCAATCGTCTCCTAATTTCCTCTTTTATATATAATGTTGTCTAGATCCTCTTTTAATCTGCTTAATCTTGAAGATTATTCCTCTGTCGTTGATCGCCCACGGATCCCTAGAATCATGACCGTACCTGGAATTTTATCCGAGTTTGAAGAAGACGACAATGGGAGAATCGCTCACCAAACGGATCACTTGTCAGATGTCATTTCGTCTGTTTCTGCCGGCCGTCGGATCGTTGTATCCAATCAGCTACCGGTGAAAGCTCGATTTGATGCAAGAATCAACAAATGGGTATTCCAATATGACCCGGATGCACTCGTTCTTCAACTCAAATCCGGGTTAGGATCCGATACCGAATGCGTTTATGTCGGATCTTTACCCGTCGACGTCCCCCCCTCCGACCAAGAAGAAGTGGCTCAAACGCTGTTAGAAAAGTTCCGGTGCGTACCCACTTTCTTGTCTTTAGAAATCCAAAATAAATTCTATCATGGTTTCTGTAAGCATTATCTATGGCCTTTGTTTCATTATATGTTACCCGTGACCCGTACCCATGGGGTCCGATTCGATCGGGTCGCATGGCAGGCCTACGTCTCTGCCAACAAAGTTTTTACAGATAAGGTTATGGAGGTTATCAACCCAGATGAAGATTATGTCTGGATCCATGACTATCATCTCATGGTGATGCCCACTTTCTTGAGAAAAAGATTTCACAGGATCCGGGTCGGGTTTTTCTTGCACAGCCCTTTTCCATCGTCGGAAATCTACCGGACTTTGCCCGTCCGAGATGAGATTCTCCGAGCTCTGTTGAACTGTGACTTGATTGGCTTCCATACGTTCGATTACGCTCGCCATTTTCTTTCATGTTGTAGCAGAATGTTGGGTCTCGATTACAAATCGAAAAGAGGCTACATTGGTCTCGAATATTATGGTAGAACAGTAAGCATCAAGATTTTGCCGGTCGGAATCCACATGGGTCAGATAGAATCCGTCAAATCATCGCCGGAAACCGCCACAAAAGTTGAAGAATTGAGGCGGAAGTACGACGGAAAAGTGGTGGTTTTGGGTGTTGATGATATGGATATGTTCAAAGGGATTAGCTTGAAGTTTTTAGCCATGGGGCAGCTCTTGGAGGACTATCCTGGACTAAGGGGCTCAGTGGTTTTGGTTCAGATCGTGAACCCGGCTCGAAGCAGGGGCCATGACATTCAAAAAGTCAAAACTGAGACCATGAAGGTGGCTAATGAGGTTAACCAGCGGTTTGGTCAAGCTGGC